AACGGAGCCCAAACTTTCCAAAGATTTATGGATTCGGTGGTCCTCAAAGGTCTTGACTTCTTATTCATTTACCTCGATGACGTCATCATCGCCCGTGACTGCATAGCCAGCCATAGAGAACAGTTAGACAAAGTTTTTCAGAGATTTAACGAGTATGGGGTGACGATAAATGTTTCTAAATGTGACTTGGGTAAGGAGAAGTTAGAGTTCTTAGGATATGAGGTGTCGTCGGAGGGAGTACGTCCCCTTAACCGCAAAGTGCAGGCTATCGTCAGTTATCCGAGACCGGAAACCGTCGAGCAGCTACGCCGATTCTTAGGTATGTTGAATTTTTACCGATCTCATATTCCTATGGCAGCCGACTATCAGACAGAACTTAACGCGTATTTGCATAATACTAAAAAACGCGATAAAACTTTAATTGACTGGACTGATAGGGCCAACGAGGCATTTTTGAAGTGTAAAGAGAGCCTAAAAAGTGCCGCTACGCTTCATTATCCTTCACCCGACGCGGACTTAGCGCTGATGACCGACGCTTCGAACACTAGTATCGGTGCAGTATTACAACAAAAGGTAAATAATATTTGGCAACCACTTGGTTTTTTCTCAAAAAAGTTGTCTGAGCCTGAAAATAAATACTCAACCTATGATAGGGAATTGTTAGCAGTTTATATGGCCGTCAGGCATTTTAAAAATTTACTGGAAGGTCGCATTCTAACAATTTTTACGGATCATAAGCCGCTAGTGTATGCATTCCTTAAAGTCGGTAACGATAAGGAAAGTCCGAGGAGAGTCCGACATCTCTCGTACATAAGCGAGTTTACCACTGATATTTGCTATATTAGCGGAACACAAAACGTAGTGGCCGACGCTTTATCGCGCATAGAGACAATAAATTGCCCAACAATGTTAGATTACACGGACATCGCAATACAGCAAGCTAGTGATGAATACCTACAACAAGCATTAAAAGTGTCGGATAGCAACTTGCAATTTAAGCAGTGTCATTTGCCCGGCTGTGAGAAGCCTGTGTATTGTGAAATCTCATCAAGTAATATTAGACCTTATTTACCGAAACAATTCAGGCAGTCAGCATTTCATTCCGTCCATGACCTCAGTCATCCTGGCATTAAAACAACCAAAAACTTAATAAAAAATAATTATTTTGGCCAGATATGGATCGCGATGTAGCAAAGTGGGCACGGGCATGTCTTAATTGTCAAAAGGTTAAAATTACAAGGCACACTGTATCGGGTGTAGGGCAGTTTGATCGACCCGATCGTTTTCAGCATTTACACATAGATATAGTAGGGCCATTACCTATTTCGGTTGACGGTCATAGATACTGTGTAACAATGATAGACCGGTGTACCGGATGGCCCGAGGCTTTTCCGGTACAGGACATTACAGCGGATACTGTAGCGAGAATAGTGTTTGAAGGTTGATCTCTCGTTTCGGATGCCCTTCGAAGCTGACCAGCGACCAGAGTAGACAGTTCGAAAGTGACCTTTTTCACCAGTTAATGAAATACTTAGGTATTCACAAATTGCGCACCACGCCTTATCATCCACAGAGTAACGGCATGGTTGAGCGTTGGCATAGAGCACTGAAAGTGGCTTTAATGGCACGCTTAAAATGCAACAGTTCATGGGTAGATGAATTACCGGTAGTGCTGTTAGGTCTGCGCGCCGCTACTAGAAGTGACAGTGGTGTGAGCGCAGCTGAGTTAACTTACGGTAAACCAATCAGATTACCAGGTGATTTCTTCGAAGATGCGAAATTTTGCAATACGGATTCGGAATATTTACAAACGTTATGGGATAATATACGTAATTTGAATCCGAGACCACCGTGCCACCGTAATTCACGTTCGTTATTTATTCCTAGTAGTTTAGATAATTGTAAATATGTATTTGTTCGGAATGATGTGATGAGAAAATCTCTTCAACCACCTTATGATGGGCCCTATAGCGTCATAAGCAGGAGAGGGAAAACTTTTGTCATAAAAATAGGAGAAAAAGAAAGTACTATTTCTATGGATAGGTTAAAGCCCGCGCACATTCTGAACGAAAACGATTTAAGCAATAACATTAATTTTGGTGATGATAGTAGTAATGATAGTTTTATTAGCATAAATAACGCAAACGCTTCTAGCAAAGTTTTAATTCCAAAAACAACGCGATGTGGCCGCGTTATCAAGACGCCAGTACGTTTTGCATTGTAAGCTATTCTGTTCTAGGTAGAACATGTCATCGTTACTTAGGATTAGTGGTTATGATTACAATTGTTTTAGGTTCGATTTCTCACCTACATCATTAATAAGTGTAACAACCTGTCAGTTTAATTTACTCAATTGTTTCTTTTATTAGTTGTTATGATTTAGGTAATATCTAGGTAATCCAATACAGTAATTAGAAAAATTCCAATTATATTTTTTAAGCTTTATTGTAGAACTCTAAAGAGCAAACTATATGTACTTACTATAATTAGCTGTAATAATATTTAGCAAACATTATACTTTAATGTGCACCTATCCTTATGCTACATAGTTGCGAGTTGCATAGCATGCATTTTGCAATAGATCAAAGTACGTAATTGCTAAGGTAACTTTTTAGTATTTTAGCATTTTAATTGTCATGTCATTATTAGTCATTATTAATGTAACATATAGAGACGATTATTCGTATCTATATTCGTTCAAATTGCTTCATTGTAGCTAGACGTATATATCTAGAATTGCTCAAAAATGGGATGGAGTCAGAGCAAGGAGGAAAATACGAGCAACAGCCTAGTAGCTCAGACTGTCAACAATCATTCAGATTATAAGCTGGAATGTATCAGCTGGACGTTGACCGCACTGGTGATAGTGTTCGTCCTCGTAGTGGGGTACCTACTATGGCGCCGTTGCATACATGTAGTGAAAGGCTGGGTAATGAAGCAGAGCGTAAGCAATCCGACCATGGTGCGGGTGCAGGCGGTTCCCAACCAAGCCGCACCTACGCCTGCCGGTTTCACGTAGTGTGTATACAAGTGCGAGTGTTAACCTAGTGTAAGTTAAGTGTTCTAAATCTTTGTGAAGGAGGGGAATGGTGTAGGGACACAATATAGATATATATAATATACTGGCTCTTTAGATCGCGTGTCCGGTGTCCTACATCATATCCATACTTATTTAAGTATAACAGCTATGTGTATGTGTAATATGTATAATAGTTATAGGTGTGGCGGCTGCGTCCGCCACGTTAGAAAGTAGTCGCAAATATATCTCCGTTTACACGTGTCTTCATTTATTGCAACCTTAATTGTACACCTTAGTGAACTTAGCATGGAATAAATGTATTAATTAATTAAACCAATACAGTATTCATAAGACTGTACATTAATGACTTACCTTATCTTGTAGGGGGCAATCACGATATAGTATTATTTGCTGAAGATACCTCTTTAATTTTCAAACTCAAACGGCAGTCAATTAATTATGACGATGTAAATAATGTTCTATCGAAATTAGTACATTGGTTTAACGGCAACAACATGCTCTTAAACGGCAATAAGACAAAGTGTATTAAATTTACAATACCTAATGTAAAACATTCGAATACCAATGTGCTGTTAGATGGGGAGGAGTTGAGTCTTGTGGATACCACTGTTTTTTTGGTTTTACTATTGACGCGAAACTTCAATGGGGCCCCCATATATCTAAATTAGCAAGCAGACTTAGTTCTGCAGCATATGCTGTAAGAAAGATTAGAAAAAAAAGATGCTGCAGCTACATTATGGTTGTAGCACGAATGGGTCGGCTCGACCTGGGAAGGACCACGCTCTCACAGAATACCAGCGTAAAATAGCAGCTTAACTTTGCCGTGTTTCGAATGCTGAGTGTAGAGATACGGAGACCCTTTTTTCTGGAAACGAGGCATTCCATCTTAGTCCTCGCGGGTGACAACGCATCTGCATTTTGATTCGTAATTGAAGATTGATGTGGATGTCTATGGGCCGCAGCAGCCACTTGTCATTGGGTGCACTGTGTGCTCGTTTGTCACCCTAATCCTATAAAAAAATGTTGAGACAGCTAGGTTAGTGTATTTTAGTTACTTTCATAGCGTTATGTCTTCTGGAATATTGCTATGGGGTAATGCGACTGATATTGATGCTATATTTGTTTTACAAAAGAGAGACGTACGGGCGATTTATAATCTAAATTGTAAAGAGTCCCTCAGAGAAAAATTTTAAGAAATAAACATATTGACTTTGGCATTGCAATATATTTATGAAAATGTAATGTATGTACATAAAAAACATAAATAGCTTTAGTAAAAATAAGGATGTTCATACCGTAAGCACTAGGAACAAACATAAGCTTGTAATGCCAGTTACTAGACTCCACAGAATTAGTAATTCATTTATGGGGCAATGTATACTCTTTTACAACAAAATCTCAGAACATGTTCAAAGTTTGTCAATAAACAAGTTTAAAAGTTTTATTCAAGAAAAACTGTACAAAAAGGGTTATTATAATAATTTCTGAGAGGGTTTAAGGGCAAGGAAATGTCAACCGCGCTGCCCCAAAGCGTGTTGGCGAACTTCTCGTGTCTTCGAAATATTTTTTCTTATTTCTCAGACATACAGGTTTCCTCACGATGTTTTCCTTCATCACCGAGCACGTGGTAAATCAGCACTTAAAATTGCAATTAATAATTTCATTGGTGCTAGCGGGGATCAAATCCGCGTTGCTCGAGTACTGTGAAGCTTACAGCGAGCGCTAACCATCTGAGCTACCACGGCTCAAGCCAAAGAACAAGCATCCAAGCGTAAAATCTAAATTAAAAAAAAAGGTATACACGTCGTCGTTTGTGGTAAATACAACGTCAAGTGACATGTAACGTTAACGTCATCGACTTTCTGAAATACCGATAACTCAGCTCAGCTGTGACCTGCAAGTAGATTTTTTAGTTACATTTGTGTTGTGTTTCGGTTACTGAATTGTATAATTTTATAATATGTCCACGAAAGTTAACAAGGCTTTCACAAAAGAAGAAGAGCTCCTTCTTCAAGATTTCAGTAGAAATGTATCCACAAAATCATCCGCTTTATTTTATGGAAATGCCTTTATTGTTTCCGCAATTCCTATATGTAAGTATTAAAAATTACTTTTTACTACTTTTACAGAATTTATTAACTTAAGGAATCTAAAGTTTCATACAAAAAAACAGGTTGTCTTGAAAGTGAAAGTCAGAAGCGAAAATCTATTTGTCTGGCAATTGAAAACATGATTTGTCTTTTCTATTATTTTTGAAATATTCATTTAGTATTAATCTGCTCTGTTCCTTTCTTACCGCAGGGCTATTTTGGAGGGTACATGCCTTGGAAGTGAGTTCTTCGCTTGCATGGTTTGCTTTTGTGACAGTAGCCAGTACTTGGCTGTTAGCGTTAGCGTATCGCAACACCAAGTTCCAGCTGAAGCACCGTGTTGCTGTACGACGAGAAGATGCCGTTGTAAGGGAGATGTCAAGGAAATTAGCCGATGATAAGAAGATGAGCCGAAAAGAGAAGGATGAAAGGTAATTAAATTGTTTAATTAAGAAATAATATTAGTAATTAAATTAGATACTGTAAATATATTTTTTTAAAACTCATAATTAAATCTAATTATGGGCTTTAAATTACACTGCCTTATCTTTTTAGATTCACAATCTATCCTAAGCTTTATTTTATGTAAGTATACTATTTACACATTCTATAAATTTTCTAGACAGATTTGATATGTAATGAAAGATATGTTTGTAGTACACATATATAAATATTGTATAAAGCAGAAGTGACACATAAACTAGCAGTCTACATGATGATAAGTGAGTGCTGCAGTCCATGCACATTTGTAGCTAACTTCAAACAAAGAAGACAATAAATATGTTGTCACCTCTGAGGACTAAGATGGAATGCCTTTCAGCCTATGAATATATTGACTCTCTATACCCTTTGGACATGGACAAGACAGTATGCTATTATTTGGCGGCAGAAATAGGTATCCAGATGGATTCTAAAACAATGAGTAATCCTATCACTTAGTAAAAAGACATTTAAAAGTTTGAAATAACTTACTAAATTTTTACTCCTAAATGGTAAATGTTTTGTTTATGTATAGATTCAATGTAACATAAAATATTTTCTTTTTCAGAATACTTTGGAAAAAGAATGAAGTTGCTGACTATGAAGCTACCACTTTCTCAATTTTTTACAACAATGCACTGTTCCTGACAATTGTGATTCTAAGCAGCTTTTATCTACTGCGTTCATTCACACCTACTGTGTATCCTTTTCAAATTAAATTATTATCATATTTCCATTCACTAACAGGCTGTTCTTCTTCCTCATGCGCACATAATTTCTACTGCTGGACGGATGGACTTCTGTTGTAGAGAAGATTTGCCTTAATTATCACACTTGGCAGGTGGATTGATGATTGCAGTATGAGACATGTCATACCTCTGATGCTGCTGTCTTTTATTAGTCTGGGTATTTTATATTTGGTCTAAACATAGCATTTCCTCAAAATCCCCTTTTTTATAGAAGTGGGGGTAAACAAGCATACGGCTCTCCTGATGGTAAGTGACTACCACTGGCCTTGAACAAATGCAACACCAGGGGAGTTGCAGGTGCATTGCTGGCCTTTCAGATATCTTATGACACCCACTGGAAGATATAGGGTGATGGTTTCTTCTATATTGCTACTACATGTTAAGTGGATATCAATATTTTATTTCTTACATTTTGATAGTATATAGCAGGGGTGGCCAACCGGTCGATCGCGATCGACCGGTCGATCGCGACTGTTAGTCCAGTCGATCGTGGCAAGGCAAAAAATATAAATACGTAGACCAGACTGCCCAACGTAACCACCTACTGCTGGCCGCATCATCTTGTATAATTTTTCAATCGCTGTTCCGTCACGGTATTTATCCTCTATTTTACGCAGTATAGTCTTTTGTTTTCGGCGTGCGATGACCAATAAGCGGGAAGCGTGTGAGATGCGGGGGTGGGACGGGAGAGTCTCAGTCAGTCAGTTGACAGTTGACGACAGAGACTACCGGGGTTACGTCGTTTCAACGATTGTCGATGTAAATCACGATTAGACTTTGTATTAGGCACGTATCATAATTTGTTTACGTACATTATGGATAAATGGTTGAAAAGAAGCGCTGAAGGAACATCAAATGAAGAAAGAAATGCTTCTGAAGGTTCATCAAATAAAGTAAGTTAATATTTTTAATATTGTTATTACTGCAAACAGACCTCTCAAAAATTTTCCTATACTACAAGAATCACGAATTTACAACTGCCTCTTTAAATCAGTGCCTTATTATTTTAGATAGGCACTCGGTGGATCAAACGAATTATCCATCTAGTAAGTGGGTAAAAAACTAGAAAATATTGTTCACCCGTTAACTTTGTGCCATCGTTACGAAATTTATTCTCATTAAATTGTATTTCTACATTTCATCATTTTTTACAGATTCTTGAATAATGTGCTCCAAAGAAATCAAAAACTTAACATTTTCACCAAGAATGGAAATTGGACTACTTCTTTACTATGGTGAAAGAAAACTGTTGCTGCCTAATATGCAATACATCCCTGGCAATGCCCAAAAAAGGAAATTTAGAGCGACATTTTAACACAATGCATAGTAAATATCATACTGACTTTCCACCTAACAGCGAAATAAGAAAGAGTAAATTGCAAGCACTGAAATCGCAATTAAAAGTCCAATAAAACATGTTTTCTGGCCTATTGAGCAAAGTAAAGCTGCAACTGAAGCTTCTTTCCAAGTAAGCCACAGAATTGCACAGAAGTGCAAACCTTTTTCCGATGGAGAATACATCAAAGAAATCTTCGAAGAAGTGTCAAATTCGCTGTTCGTGAATTTCAAAAGTAAAAACGAAATTAAAAAAGCTGTTCATGGCTTACAGCTGTTGCAAAATACTGTAATGCGCCGTATAGAAATAATAAGTAAAAACTTAAACGATCAACTACAAAAAGATATCGCCCTCTGCGTTGCTTTTTCGCTTCAGTTTGATGAGTCAACAGATGTCACTGATACTGCACAATTACTTGTTTTTATTCGGATGGTCTTCGAAGATTTCTCGACCAAAGAACTACTAGGTATGATTTCTTTAAAAGGAAATACTCGTGGCCTTGATATATTCACGGAATTCAAAGCATATATTTGCCAGATTAAGCTATGCATGTATAAACTCGTATCAATGACAACTGATGGAGCTCCTGCAATGACAGGTATTCATAATGGTTTTATTGCTCTTTGTCACAAAGACGAAGATTTTCCAGACTTCATTAGCTACCACTGCATAATTCATCAACAAGTACTGGCTAGTAAGAGATTAAACACGAAACATGTGATGGATATTTCTTTTAAGATTGTAAATTCCATAAAGGGAAAATCCCTCCAAAGGCGGCTCTTTAAACAGCAATTAGATGAGAAGGAACCAGAGTTGGCAATGCACACTGACGTGAGGTGGTTGAGTCGAGGCAAGTTTTTGCAAAGATTTCGAGATCTATTGGACGAAATAATAAAATTTCTTGATGAAAGGCGTGATGATTATCAGCAATTGCGTGATTTAGACAGGCAATGTGATTTAGCTTTTTTGGCAGATTTTACTGGAAAACTGAGTACATTAAATCTGAATCTACAAGGCAAGAATAAAAAATTAACAGAAATGATGAGTTCCATTGCAGCGTTTCAATGTCAAACAGCATCTATGATAGTTGACATAGAGAAGAAAAAATTTGAACAATTTGTTAACATCAAGGATCATATGGAAAAACATCCTAACTACAATTTCTTTTCCAAGAAATATACGACAGAAATTAGGGCAGTGGTAGCAGACTTCGAAATTCGCTTTGGTGATTTCAGAAAAATTGAAAACTTGGTTCAATTCATCAGTTATCCGTTCAATGATTCCATTGATCATAGTGAAATCTATGAATTGGCTACAAAATTTGCAGATACATTTCAAATGGAGCACATGATGTTACAAAACGAAATTATTACTCTGCGCTGCGACATATTTCTTAAAGCAAGGTCATCCTCAGGTCAAGATTTCTGGGCATTGGTTTCCAAAGAAAAATATCCAAATTTGAAGAATTGTGTTGAACAACTTCATTCGTGTTTTGGTTCAACATATTTATGTGAATCAGCATTTTCCTACTTAAAGCAAACAAAAAGTAAACACCGTTCTCGCTTGACAGACGCTCATACATTGGATTCTTTAAGGTTGGCAATCTCCAACTACAAACTTGATTATGCTAAACTAGTGGAAAATACTCAGACGCAATGCTCACACTAATATATATGTAAATAAGTAGTTACTAAGTATAATTTTCACATTTATGTTTTTTCTCTTAATAAAAAAAATGTTACATGATTGTGTACTGAACTATGCTGTTTTATTTAAGATTTCTAGAAGTAGTAGATCGCACAGAGTCTCGTTAGTGAACAAGAGATCTTGGGTCCAATCAAGTTGGCCAACCCTGGTATATAGTAATGGTATTACACTGAGTAAACCAAGTAATCTGACACATGTTTAAATTAGTTAATATCATTTCACACTTAAAATGAGGTATTTTTGTTGTTTAGTCATAATTTTTTATTTATTTTAAAACCTCACCACAAATTATGTGGAGCAATCAAAATTTTATAGGAAAATGAATGTCTTTGACCCAACTTTATTTTTGTTTCCAAACTTTTTTCTGAGCTGATACTTTTGTAAATCATGTTTGAAAGAAGCTTCATAGGCTTTATTAAAAAAATAAAAATACCATCTGCTAATATCTAAAACATTGCTTTCTATTTGGATTATATTTGTAAATCTGATATTTGTAATTAATAAATATGCTATTATCACCACTAAATAAGTCCATTTCAAACATCACTTCACACAAATCTTTTGATTTTAAGTGTGTTTTTGCTATAAAATCTTTAAGTTGCCTTTTTTTCACTATTGCCATTGTTTTCTCAGTAATAGACATTAAAAGAGTGGTCTCCTTATCATCCACCAAATTAGGTGACCGCATATAGTTATTGTACCATCTGAACACCATCTTGGCTGCTTTGTAGCACAGTGGCTAACATTCTAAATGTTTGATTGTGGTGCAGGGCCGCGGGATCGAATCCATTAATATTTTTATCATGTATTATAATTCATACAGCATATTTATAATGTAATAACCATTGCTAGCTGCATAAAAAAGGCATGAAATATGTTATGCACTGGGTGTCATATATAGCATAGTTCTAAGTTTTTCATATAGAGAAACTGAGCATGGCAGTCTCCATATCTCTCTGAGCGACCTTGAGTTTCCTTATAAGGCCAGCAGTCCAGGGCAACATACAATTTTGTAACATACATACATTAAATAACCAAATACAAGATTAAAAGCAGCTTTTCAATGGGGTAGAGCCACATTGCTGCTATACTATGGTTGTAGCACAAATGTGTCAGTTCTACTACGTTCTAATGTGTCAGACCATGCTCTCACAGAATACCAGCGTTAAATAGCAGCTCAATACTGTTGTTTCGTGTGGTGAGTGTAGAGAACCAGAGACTTTTTACTGGAAACGATGCATTCTTTCTTAGTCCTCATGTGTGACAACGCATTTGCATTTTGATTCATAGTCAAGGATAGATGTATATGTCTATGGGCCACAGAATCCACTAGCCATCAGCTGTTTGTTCCTTTCTCTTTAAAATAGAGAGAGCCTTGTACACTATTAAGAAATTCTTTGTAAACTTTCTTTATTTTAAGTGACCTTAAAAACGCCTGAGATTTTTTATAACAGTTATGTCATTCTGTAACTCCAGTGCAGAGTATTGTCAATAAGTGAGATTTAAAATGAAATTTAGTAATAAAATTTCCTTAATAATATTGTACAGAAACTATATTGTATCTCTGACAGCAGCTTCTGGCTTCTTAGCACTACTGTCTACAGGAACAAAGTGAAGAAAGAACATTATGTGAACTGAGTGATGTGCTAATGATAGAAGATGCACATAAATATCATTGCACAACATGACAGTGTAATATACTCAGCTAAAATTATTTAAGAACTGTCTTCTTTATGAATGTATTTTGCAAATAGGATTGTTTTTAAATTATTATTAAGAAATAAAAATATTTTGAACAGTCTTTAGTTTTATTTACAATATTTTAGAAAGATAGACTTACGTATTTAAATCTTATATCTATTTTAGTAACAATTAATGACAGATGATTTTCAACTAGTCCGGGTGGGTATTTAATAAAATAAAAATCACAAACTGCCTTCATTATTATTGTTCAGTGTTTTATACTATAAAATTGCCATTGGCTATATATTTATTCGTATTCATTTATTAATCAAAATATGTTATCTACTTTATTTACATTTCACAAAAACACAACACAAAAGTTCCATGTTTATCGTTTATATATAGTGTTACATAAAATCTTTATTAAAAAATTCATCATATACTGCAAAATTGTATAGTTTGTATATTGTATTGAAATTGTCTTAAATATGGATTGCAATTTTTTATACGGTTGATGGTAGATCCCTTGTTGATGAAGACCTTTGATGAGTATTTCTGTCTCTGTTTCGAACAGCAGGATGTTGCTCATATTTTGTTAATTTACTTTAAACGTTCATGCTACTTTTTTCTCTCGGTTCGCTATAATGGAGACTAGCGGTTGCACTGTCAAATCTCATTGTTCGCGTATGGAACGTAGGTTTGTCAGGAGCTCAGTACATCATGCCGACGTGCAACGGTTCGGTGCGTTGGAAAAAGACGTTGGGGTTGCTGCTGAAGGTGGGTTCTACGCTCGTGTACACGTTGCCCTCCTCCGGTCGCATCATCACGCCTGTATTCACAATAATAATAATTATTATTAATAATACTCTTTTTGACGACAGTGGTAAATTCTGTAAGTATAGAAAAAATTATCAACTGAGCAAAATATTAGTCCTGTAAATAAACATGCAAATTCACTTTTTCTATTGCACTACTCCTATCCCATGAATATTCGATGTTACCTTATGAGACAGGATCGAAAGACAACTTTGATGTAGTGACAGAAAGGTTTGAAAGCACTACATTCAAACCAAAAAAATATTTGTGATTTTATACAAATGTAAGTATAGACTTAGATTCGAACCTGGGGTTTTCGAATAGTTACGGTACAACACTAAACAGTCGAAAAAAAGGAGTTCTTTTATTAAGCTTATACCAGTCGTGTAGGTTGTAATAAATATATATTTAATACCAGTTGATGCTTTTGATAAAATATAAAAATGTCCATATCCTTTTCTTTATGATGCTATTTTTTAATCCCTTCTTACCTGTGTATTATCATCATCATTACAGCCCCCCACAAGTCCACTGCTGAACATAGGCCTCTTCCTAGGAATGCCACAAAGCACGGTCCCGAAGCACCTGCATTCAACAATTTCCTACGAATACTTAGAAGGATTATAATTATTATGTTCTGCCCATTTGACTTCTATGGTAATTGAAAGTTGCCTATAATTTGTAGAGACCAAAATCGGTAACGGCAACATAACATCAACATCGAATAGAATTTTTTTTATTTTAATTATTTCTTATGTTAAATAAATTCACGTTACACGTTATTAATGCACGTTTTTAGTAAAACTAAAACTGTTTGGAATAATGAAGAATAAGATACGTTATATGAGTTAGAAATTTATAATGAGATGTTAATTATTTAAAGAGCTTTTCAGTTTTTTTCCAAATAAGTTTAAAAAAAAATCTGGTGCAAGGAGTTCTAATTACCTGATGGTAGTAGATAGTTATAAGGCGGGTAATTATATTGGTAGTGCATTAATGGGTGCAAGGGGTAGTGCGGCGGGGGGCACAGACGTGCGTGCAGATGTGAACTCGCGAACATTGCGCCATACGGATCTGCAATCATAATGCGGTGAGCTGCTATAAATTAGTGGTGCGTGGAAGCGCTAGTTCTTACTTATTAGCGCGTTTTAGATACTTAACTAACCGGCTGGCTGAGCAGGAAGCTCTTTGCGATCGAGGATCGGTGGTTGAGCTGGCCCCGGTGCCGCCGCTGAGACCATGCCGTACTTCACCGGCTTGAAGTGGAAGAAAGATGGCGAATAGCCGGAGCCACCGCCGCCTAATGAGCTCAGCCCCTCGTCGCGATCAGCGTCCCATCGGCCCTCGCGTCCCAAAGCTGCCAATCTTCGACCTTTTGGAGCAAACATTAAGGCGAACACTACTGCACATGTGGCCAACAAGCCAGCCGCTATGCACACGTCACGATGCTGTTCCGGTGCGCCAAGAGCGGCCGCTACCCAGCATACCCAGACGGCAGCTGTTGCCCCACTCGCCCCAGCAATGTGAGTCGCTTCTCGGTAGTTATCACGTATACCGCGTGACCTCAACGCTACTCCACATACTACTGCAATAAGAAATGCAGAATAGCACAGTGAAAGCAGAAGGTCAGACAGAGCAGTGTCACATCGCGCTCCGCCAGCAGTGACTCGCGGGGGCGAACTGCCGAGCCACTGAGCTCCGATCACAACTTGTATCATAACCGCAAAGAACAGTAGAAGTCCCTGATATGCCGCTGGTAAATACACTCCGCCGTTTAAACTTAACAAAAAAACACACTTAACTAATAGTGAAGCAAAGACTATTACGTAAGCGACGCCAGTTCCGAAACGAACTGCTCCACATGTGAAAGTATTTGGCGTTGCGGTGTAAATAGCTGCGGTCACGGCACTGAAAAATAGTCCGAATAGTAACGTTTGTCCTAGCAATAAATGTCGATGACTTGGAGCCTTGCGGCTAGCGCCCCACACAACGAAAACTTCAAAACCACTAAATGTCAACATGCTAACACACGCGATTGCCAAGATCGGTACCGCCCATGCCTCTGATCTCAATGCACCTCTCGAGGGTGTTATAGTAATAGGTACAATAGTGGTATTGCTCGGCTGCGGTGATGTAGAGATGTTGACAGTCCGTATGGAGGTCGATGGACGCGTGGAGGAAGAGGTGCGTTCAGGAATCACAAAATATTCGGTACTCATTTCGAGACGGTGTGCTTCGGTGCGCGCAGGGCGTCGCGGTGGAGGTTCCGTTTCGGGCATAGCCTCGTCATCTTTAACTGTTTGATTGTGCTCATTATATTCTTGATCATAAGAGTCCTCGTAATCATTTTCGACGTAATGGTGTGCCGAGGGTACGTGACGTGGAGCGTAAGCGGCGGGCACTCGGGGAGCAAGGCGGTCTCCGAAGCGGGCCGCTCTGACTTCAGTTAGTGTCGCCAGCGCCGCCGTGAACAGCAGTGCCCGCACCGCTGCTATCGCCATCAGGCCACCCCGGCCTCAGCTGCCGGATCCTCGCCACAGACACATCCGCGCTGAATGCGTTGACCCTGTAAAACAAACTTAGTGTAAGTCACGTGCCTAAATGTCCGGCGTCGGATTGCGTCGTCTCGGTTCTCAGATAACCAAACAAAGAATCTCCCCGTCAAACCGGTTTGTCGCCTGGCACCTATAGGGATCCTAACTTTGCTGATTTGGAATTTGATATTGTTTTATTTTAGTTTAAATTGTATCCAAAAGGCAATAGGCACAGACTTTTAATAGTTCTGTAGAGGATACCAACGAATATTGGCTTTTATTATAATAGATATTTATAATAGATGCGTAAGTTGAAATAATATTGCCAATAAAAATCGTATTGTATAATAAAGTAAGTATTGGATCTATTTAAAAAAAACTGGTTACGTTTATGGATTGATGCACTTAAATATATTATAAGCCATTAATCGTGAGCTAGAGTACTATAGGGTTATTACTTTTTTTATTGCCCTTTATACTTTTATGGACGGCAAAATTTTAATGGGAGATTCTTAAGAAATATGCAAATACCACCACTGTTTCAGCCTATAATTGTGATAGTTTTTATTGTTATTTAGTACTTAAAACCCGCTAAAGGAGACATATATAGTAATGCAAGAAGCGAAACATGTTATACGCTATTATGACATACCGTAGAGGCTCCCATGTATAGAAATAGTTTCCAGTCAATCCTGGAATGTGCTAAGGGTTTATTACAAGTAGATCTAAGAAAAAAGTTCTTCTTTAAACAATGTATTTCGAACATTAATACATGGGAAATAATAGAAAACTGCGGTTGCCAATGCTAGGCGCGTTGGCAAGCATAGCAACTATAGCATATATCAGCCCTATAAGGCGATCTATGGAGAGACCTTTTGTACTATGTAGTAATACTTATATTGTATAAAAAGCACTTGTGCACTTCACACTCGGTAGAAGTGAAACCTTCAAATGAAATGAAATACAAAATAAAAATATTTTACGGCAAATGATTTATTTAATTTGATAATTTGCAACCACAAGTGCGGCATAAAAAATAAGATAAAAGTTTTGAGAAAAGTTTTTCCTTATTTTTAGAAATGACAACCTAAATTTTGCTTAGTAATAGCAAAGTCTTCTTCATTCAAATTTATTGGCTCAAGGTGGTCCATGAATCGGTGGTGATATGAAATCGTGGATTGTTAAGAATGCTTTAGATATGATAATTTTATTCAATATAATTAATTTTATTTATTTGATAAATTTGTATTTTTTTATATTTTTTTATTTTAACACTTAAATGTTAAATTAAAAATATTTAAAGAATCGCACACAGAGGATACCGAGATAATAGGAAACACTTCATACTGTATTAGCTGTGATAGGCGTACTCTTTAGAGACGACACCGCGTGGCTAGGCGTCGATCGCGCGCCGAGCTGTGTTGAATTATTGTAATTTTCCATTATTTCTTAAACTATGCGGCCAAATAACATGCTATAAAGAGCAAAGTTTATATCTTCATAAAATTATCTTGATGATGAGGTTATTTTCGTTCGTAAGGATTAATATGCCATGTCTAATAAGAACGCTCATAAATCACTTTCAATATTTTTTTCACATAATACTTTTTTGTGGCTTATGTATTTGGTAGAGCCATACTGCATATCAATACGAGTAGTATAGTTATAATACGAATGGGTCGGCTCGACCGGGAAAGGACCTCGTATGTAAGGTAAAATAACAGCTTAATGCTGCTGTGTTTCGTATGGTGAGTGTAGAGAACTTTTTACTAGAAAAGAGACATTCTATCTTAGTCCTCACGGCTGACAACGCATCTGTATTTTAATTCGCAAACGAAGATAGATGTAGATGTCTATGGGCCACAGCAACCACTTACCATCAAGTGGACTGTGTGCTCGTTTGTCACCTTATCCTATAAAAAAATTAAGACTTAAAATTCTAAAATAATATATATAAATTGCCTTGCCTAACAATGTCATTAGTATAATGATAAAAAAATTTTGAGGGTCATTTATCGGGATAAAAACTATCCTATCTCTCAAATTGGACCAAAATGCACACAGTGTGCAAAATTTCATTGAAATCAGTTCATTAGTTTAGAAGTCCATCGCGGACAAACAACTTGACACGTAATTTTTATATATAAATATATAAAAATCAAAAAGATGTTACAGAGTGAAAAGTATCGTTAACGAAGTAAACCATAGTGCACGAAATCACCGCAATGGGAGCAATGTAATTTTTGGTCACTATAAATTAATAGTTAGTTGCAATTTGAAAAGTTTATCTTACAACTATTTAACACGTAATCGTCGTTGTTGTAATTTAAGTACGTCATTTCACACGCATAAAGAATTATTATTAATATTATGTAAACTATTAAGTAAAGTCAAAGTGCTAAGCATTACATATTAAAAAAAATTTAAACGAAAATAGTGGTATTTCCGTTATGTAAATCTAACTACTGCAACTGATTCTAATATGTGCAGGTCTACAGGTGCAGAGGACAGGACAAGGCAAATAAGTAAATGTAATTTAATATAAAAAAATCTCTTTGGTTGTACTGTTTGTATCTAGCTGGTTTTAATATCAATACATATATAGGAAAACGATCTAAGAGCGAGTCTTATCTGACACTATTCCGACGATATCCCGTACGTCAGTCTGAGCGAGATTAGAATGGCTCTCCAGCACCTTAAAAACGGCAAGGCCCCAGGCGAAGATGGAATTACAGCGGAGCTTCTGAAAGCGGGTGGAAAACCGGTACTTGAAGTCCTTCAGAGGCTCTTTAATTCCGTCCTCCATGGTGGCATTACACCGGAGGCGTGGAGCAGAAGTGCGGTGGTCTTGTTCTTCAAGAAAGGTGACAACGCTCTCTTGAAGAACTACAGACCGATTTCCCTTCTAAGCCGCGTCTACGTGCTGTTTTCGAGAGTCATTACGAATCGTCTCGCGCTCAGACTTGACGACTTCCAGCCGCCCGAACAAGCCGGTTTCCGAAAGGGCTTTAGCACCATAGACCACATACATACCCTTCGGCAAATTGTACAGAAGTCCGAAGAGTACAATTTGCCACTGTCTGGCGTATGTGGACTATGAGAAAGCCTTTGATTCCGTCGAAATTTGGGCGGTGCTGCAATCCCTTCAGTGGTGCCAAGTTGATTGTCGGTATATCGAAGTGCTGAAGTGTGTGTACAGTAGAGCTACGATGGCTATCCGAGTACAGAACCAGAGTACGAAACCTATCCAATTGCAGAGAGGTGTAAGACAGGGTGATGTTATATCCCCGAAACTCTTCACCGCTGCATTGGAAGACGTTTTCAAGCTTCTGGACTGGAAAGGATACGGTATTAACATCAATGGCGAGTACATCACTCACCTTCGATTTGCCGACGATATAGTCCTAATGGCAGAATCGCTGGAGGACCTAAGCACCATGTTCAATGACCTCAATTGTGCCTCTCAACGAATAGGTCTTAGGATGAACATGGACAAAACAAAGATCATGTTTAATGTCCTTGTCACACCTATGCCGGTAGTTGTTGGGAGCACTAAGCTCGAAGTTGTTGACGAGTATGTTTACCTGGAACAAATAGTCCGACTAGGTAAGTCCAACTTCGACCGAGAGGTCAATCGACGGATTCAACTCGGCTGGGTAGCGTTCGGGAAAGTATGCCACATCTTCTCGTCAGACATTCCTCAAAACCTTAAAACGAAATTGTACAACCAGTGCGTGTTGCCAGTGATGACTTACGGATCTGAGACGTGGTCCTTCACTGCTGGCCGTATGAGGAAGCTCAAGGTCGCTCAGCGAGCTATGGAGAGGGCTATGCTCGGGGTTTATCTGCGTGATAAACTTAGAAATGAGTATATCCGCAGTAGAACCAGAGCAACCGACATAGCCCAACGGATTAGTAAGCTGAAGTGGCAGTGGGCCGGCCATATAGCTCGAAGAACCGACAACCGATGGGGAAGAAAGGTTCTTGAGTGGCAGCCTCGTACCGGTAGGTAGGCGAAGTGTAGGGCGAACCCCCACGAGATGGAGTGACGACCTGGTAAGACATGCAGGAAGTCGATGGATGCAGGTGGCTCAGGACCGTGCTTTGTGGCATTCCTTGGGGGAGGCCTATGTTCAGCAGTGGACTTATGAAAGCCTGTAATGATGATGACATATATAGGACATTAAGAAAAAGAAAAAGTAAAATACACTTTCCCGGCATTTTTCAATTGTTTTTCTGCCCGCCAAAATGAGTGAATCTAACGAATAAATTCGATACATTCTGAAGTTTTATTACAAGCGGTTTCAGTCCGGGAATTTTGCTGTCCAAGATGCAGCTCGTTCTGGTCACCCTCATACGTACTATAAAGTCGATGTCACTTTTTAAAAAGTGGAGCTAAATTGGCATTTTAGTTGTTACGACATAGCCCAGGAATTGAGGATTGACCACAAACAGTTTTGACCCATTTGAAAAAGTTTGGCCATACAAAAAAGATCGATATTTTCGTACTACACGTGGTCACTCAAAGAAACCTAACGAATCGTGTACTGATTTGCGAATCTCTATTGAAACGTAATGAAAACTAATTGAAACTAATGAGACTCAAGCAAGAAAAGAAAAAACGGGCGGAATTGAGCAACAGAAAAGAAATGGTCTTTCAACATGATAACGTCAGACCACACACATCTTTGGCCACTCAGCAAAAATTGAGAGAGCTTGGTTGGGAAGTGTTAATGCATCCACCATATAGTCCTGACCTTGCACCCTCAGATTTTAACATGTTTCGGTCCTGTTCTTCGTGTAGTGTTAGATTAACATCAAGAGAGGACTGTCAAAACTACAAAACCACTTATCGCGTTTTTTTGATCGAAAATCCCAAGATTTCTACAGCAACGGGGTTATGTCACTACCTACAAGATGGAAACAAGTTATGGAACAAAATTACAAATATATATGGTAATTATAAT